CCATTCTTTATGGGCATAATCTCGCTCGGATGGGTATCTGGATTTTCGTAGCTTTTAGTGAAAATATATCTAGTTTACATTCCAAAATAGAAAAAAGCATACCGCTAAGGCCGACCACCACCACCTTTTCAAATTGGAGATGTTTTGGAGCTATCCGAGGTAAACCACTCGTATCCTCCCTAAATTAGATTCACATGCCTCGCAAAGGAGCCTTTCCTCTTTTTCTGGGATTTAAAGCAAAATACTTACTGGGCAGTCAAAAAGATTAAGCAGTTGAGTTGTTTCTGCGAATCGTACATTTCGTTGATTTCCTCGACGGCCCTTAATAATTGATAGATTCTTCAGTGTAACTTATTTCGTACATTTCTTACTGTTTGGTAGTGAAAGGATTGCTTTGGCGAACATATTTCATCTTCGAAAGTTTCTTATCTAGATCCTCATGATTTCTACTCATATCACTTAGTGATGAATTGGCGTTTCTAGGGAAATCTGTGTGTCCATACGCCCACAGGCCAATTTTTGCCCGACTTTCATCAAAAATATCGTAACCGACTTGAGAAAGGAGTTCAGCTTCCTAAACAGGAAAAGCTTCAGTTCTTCTAGGTTTTAGGATAAATTACTTACTTGTGCATAAGATTCGGCATCATCTTTGTAATTGTACAGATCACCGACAAATAGACAATTGTACCTTGTTGCAGGTGAAGCTGCAAATTGAATCAGTCGGCAAAAAGCGAAAAAATGTGCATGATTTTTTCGGTATTCTTACACGGAAAAAGCAAAGCCCTTAGCTTGACCATTTCAACATTCTAAGTGTATGTCATTATGCTCTTGTGCAAAAAATTATGGTGTGTTGTGCTTTTTATTGACACTCTTTGATTAAAAAACTTGGGCACATTGAGAAAAACGGGGTACCTGACTTCTTTGCGCCCCAAACAGAAATCATATCCAGTTCTCATCTAAGAGGTTCCCGAAAATTTGCCTACAGCATTTGTAAGAGCCGCAAAAACGATCAAGACTATTTATTAGCCAATCTGATATTTTGAAAGCTAGAAAGAAGGGAGGCATTCCTGGCAGTTTAATGTGAAGGGCCCTAGAATCTGTTGTAAAAGTTCATAGTCACAGCAGCGCTATACACTTCCATGTAGGACTCCCATCCACATATACGGGAACTTCATCGAAAATCTCGTTTTCGTATTATTTCGACACAAAGTGCAAATAAACAGCTGATTCCGTCGTGTTGATGTTGCACAGAGTACATTACGAACATCGTTTCCTCAAGACTCCTCACTTTTCGTCATGTGGGGGATGTTAACTTTTAGGTTTTATTTCTCAGATATTCTGAATTTGGGATATGTAGTTTATTAGGCTTTACACTGGCAAAGTGAGCAGACCCAAATTAGAGGGCACTGTGAACGGCGCATGCGACTTCCTTTAGTATCAGTTGGGTTTGGCCGATCACCACTACATAGTTCTGATGGAGTTAGAGAAGTCACAGAAGCTTCCCATCCCATCAGCCACATATAAAGTATTTTTCTTCATCGTAAAGCACGAGGTCACTATTTAGTCGAGTTACGATTTGACCCCAATTTGTATGAAATATTGCGTAAGGAGCCGCCGCCATTTGGTCGCTATTAGCCGTGTTACAAAAAAAGGGAAGTTTTTTTATCAAGTACCCAACGTTCATGTGCTTTTTTGATGTGTGCAAAAACATCCTGAAGTGGCGATTATTGCCAACGCAAAAAGAATCGGTGGAACCAAAACGACCAACTATTTTTTTGGACTTTCAGCAGGGCTAGAATGTGGAACACGTCTGGAAGAAAGCAGGAGAATTTTTTTGCATGTTTTGTTTGAGAATCGGAGCAACATCTGAAGAATGCACTTTGCAAAGCGAACTTTCCTTAGCGCACCATTTAAAATCAATGCAACTTACCAGTTGTAGGTGTAGGTCTACGAGTTGTTCTTCTAGAACCCTCCGTTCTTTGGGTACCCTCCGTTGACTCAGTGGTATGACCTGTAACTTGTTATTCAATAATCTCAAGCTTTTAAGGTGAAGTCAGCTTACCGAAATTGATAATCTCCTGAACAACATTCTTATCCGTTCCTACTACGTTTTCATCATTCATTTCGTATAGTTGTGCAATTGTCTGGGAAGGCTTCGTGTTTGAAACGATCAAACTTTCCTTCAGAACGCCAGATTTTTGCAGTTCAGTGATGAAATTCTTCACATCGTCGTCTTTACTGAAAAGAACTGCCTTTATAATACACTAAAATGAAGTATACCAATTCTTGTTGAACTTCTCTGACTTTTCGAGCACATGAATTAT